AAAACTAGGACATACTGGGCTTGCAGGTTACAGATCCAAAGCTGTGGAGTAAAACTAATCAGTTCTTGGATAGGATTTTTTTCTTTCCCCTGCAGTACAATCTATGGTCTAGTTGGTCAAATCAAGCCTTTCTGAGAAAAGAAGATTAGAGGCAGTTGTTTAAAGTATTGAAGGGGGAGCAGGATTTAAGCTTTATTACCGACCAGGATATACAAAGCAGACTGTAATGAAAAAAAAAAAAAAAAAAAAAATCAGCATTGGGATTGTATTTGAAGTCTGAATGGAAAATGTTGAGAGAATGCAGGGCCATATGGAGGAGCTTATAGTTGCAGCAAGAGCTGATGTCGAGGCAAATGCCCTCTTGAATAAGTGAAATTAGGGGTTGTGGGCGAGTCATGGGAGTTAAAAATGAAACTATTGCACCTCAACACCGCAAACAGGCTGTTATGCAAGAAACGAAGCTCAGACAAACTGCACACTTTATTTTATTCATAAGAAATGTTCCTCCTGAACTGGAAGAGCACCCGGCTGAGTAAACGCCGCTTCGCGTAAACAAAATATTCGAGGGGAAAAAGCTCTTATCCTTTGGCAAAACCTCAGCACTTCCACTGTTTCGAAGATTCCATCCTGCCTTCTGTGAAGATCCCCGCTGTCTGAACCTCTGCACATGTTACGTAAAGGCACTTGAGGCCCTGGAGAAGCACAGCAGGATGCCCTATTTACCGGCCCATCTGGAGCTCCACGGGGCCGTGTTTAGCACGGGGGCACTTCGGGATACACTTTGCAGGAGTTAAGAGGAAATAATGAAAAATACCCCAGCACAGGTATCAGCGCCCTGGGTTGCTTCCATTTCATTTTCACTTGGCTTTTCACCATCCTAACTCTAGTCTGAGCTGGACAAATCCAACCTTGCTTCTTCAGTTTTCACTTCCTGCTCTCAAGACTTTTTCTTTTTTTTTGTTCTCCATCAGCTTTTACAGACAAGTGGTCCAGGACAGAAGCAACTCGAGCTCATGAAACAAGGGCTAAAGGCACATAGGACCTGCTTTGGCCAGCATTCCTTCAGAAATACCCGCAGGAAAAATAGTTTTCCCTTCAGTGTAGAATGAGGAAACGTAGGTAAATCGTATCACAGTGAACTGATAAACCACTGAGCATTCAGGATCAAGTGAATAAAGTGTATTTAATGTCTCATCATCTGGTGATAAAAATGCAGCCACACTTCCTATAATAATATCATAAAATAGGCTAACTTGCAGACATCTAGTGAGAAATACTTCTGAAAACTAACAATTTTCATGATGTTCAAGTATGATAGAGACTTTCCAGGAAAGGTTTTTGCCATGTCTCACTGATGAAACTCAGATGTGCATTAATATCCTTCCTTTCACAAACAAAATCTCAAAAAGAGTTGACAAATAAAATAGCAAATTTGCAGCGACATTAATGAGGTTTCTGTCTTTGTCATTCTCATGAGGTGGAGATGGTAACACCAGCCAGGAAAAGAGCTCACAGTTTTAGCCCTGCTCGGGGAAGTACAGACACAGATCTTAAAATCTGTATTGAAATTTTCAGCTTATTAGAAAACTATATTTTGTGGGTTAGGTCGACTTATGCGTGCTTGGTTTAAATCTAATATTTCCCAATTGGAGAGAAATATTATGGGGCTAATTCTGCAATGTGGAAAACGCATTTCACTAAATCCCCGTGAATTTTGCTTAAGTAAGGAATAAATCAGTGCAGAGTATGAACCCGTACTTAAATATTCCATTTAACTAGAGGAACACACAAATTACTGAAAATTACTTCTGGTACAAACTGAAGGGTTTCTGTTTCATCACCTACAGCAACTCCTACAAATTCTACTCATTTGCTCATCTCCAGGAGCTGTTAATTTTAGAGATAATTCCAAGATTCACCCAAGTAGCTTCCCGCAGGTATTTGTTGAAAACTACCACGTTTTCTTTTTAATTAACTCCAGAGCTTTGTTAATAACTTGCTATTGGTTAGTTCTAAACCAGAATGCAGCTCCAATGAGCTGCATCTATAAATTTTCACATAATATTACCAAATTACATTCTTACAACCTAATCAGAAACTGTAATGGCCTTAAGGACATCCAGTAAGAAATGAGAAAGCTCTGAATCCAGCATTAACAGATGAATTATTCTGCTGTTGCTGAGATTTCTTTGGGAGCTGTTTCTGCAACTTAACACCTGCTTGAGTTAATTTTTATTCTTCCTTGTATTTCATGTATTTTATACAAGTAGGATAGATAAGAAGGTTAGATTGACTCAGTGTGAAAACTAGGAACTCCTCGGTATTAAATCAAAAATATTAGGGTCATGAACTTTGAATATACCTTTATATAACATAGTCTAGTGGGTAATGTGTAGATAAAGATGGTGTTTCCTTGGACAGCTCCATAGGTTCATGTATCAAGGGAAAAGCTTTTCCACATGGTTGGGAAAGAAATACTCAGAAAGGTATTAACACTTTATTTTATTACCTGAGACTGAAAACTGTATCTTATCTCCAAATCAATTACTTTTATCCTAACGAGTCAGTTTTACTGATCACATTGTCATCCCTAATTTTCTTGCTTAGAGGGCTAGAAAAGGAGTCATTAGCTACATGCCGAAAAAACAGCTAAATTCATATTGCTTACATGTCCTTTCTCAGCTAATTAAATACCAACATGAGAATCCATTCATTTGTATTATACACCAGAAAAAAATAATAATAATTTAAAAAAAAAAACCTGAAAGCTCCCTAAGAGTGGAAAACGCAATTAAACTCTCAGTGTATTAATTCGGGTGCAAACTGCTGCACCATTGTGTGGAAGTGCTTTCCCTTTCCTTAATTAACTAAAACACAGAGAAGAAAATCTGATGGCTTCAATGGCATTTTCTTCACTGTCAGAAACGCTTTGGGATGATTTTATTATGTTATCACAAAGAGTGTTGGAGGAGTTATTGCCGTTACTTCTCTTTGTCACCTCCCGGAGTGACAGACTCAGCAGAGGAACTCGGATGGGAAGGATTAATATTTTATAACATCATTACTTTATGGGCAGGATAACTATAGCAATAAGAATACATTTAATATTTTATGCATTCACAGCCACGTAACACACATGGAGCGTTTATTCCGCTGCACATCTCCCCGGATGGGTGTTTGGTTGCCGTGATTGAAAAGCTGAGCAGTTTGTCACACTTAATGGCTCTTTATATCGTGGTGGGAGGAACAGAGGGGACTCAGCCTTAGAGTCCCATCACTGTGCGCCCTGGCAGAGTGAATGCAAGCCAGAAATACCCTCAGACCTCGCAGCACAGAGTCAACACACCACACAGAGCAATTTTAGGGAAAAACAAGCCCGGTAGCCCTGCTAGACCCAACAGATGCAGCACAAGAAGTTATGCAATGGAGAGGGTGCCAGAGGGAGGAGTGGAGACCCCAGAGCTCTGCCTGGGTCACTGCAATGCTGATGCCGAGGGTTTAGTGCATTTAGGCTGCGCTCAAGCAAAATATGCTCCCATGTAAACTCAGGTATGCTCCCTCTTCCTTCAGAAGGAAAAGAGGAAGTTCAGGCAGCCTGGCAGCAATGATGCTTAGGGTGTATTTCCAAATCATCCCACTGGGTGCTGGTGGCTTAGTTATTTGAACATGGTTTGTTTCCTTCCTCCACCCCCCCGCTCCAGTTTCGCTGGCCCTGAATTCACCCGTTTGTGGGATCACACAGCTCCGTGTGTGATCGGGCATCCATCCCCCCCGGCTACACTGCAGTGGCCAGCAGAGAAACAGCCAACTCCACCTGAATCCTCGGGAGGAAAAGCGAGCACACTCCGGATACGGACAGTCAGGAATTTAACACAGATTTGCAGCTCCAAGGCGCTGAGTGCCCTCAGCTTTGCTCCCCCTCACCCCGCTGGTGCCGCCTTTGCCCCGCACTTTGAAGGACCGTGCGCCTTAATTTATTTAAATGTTTCGGTCACCTTTGCTCTCTGAGCACAAGAGGAATGATGCTTCCACTCGATGTTTAAAGGAAAGCCGAGTGGGGTTAATGCTTGCTGGGTCAAAAAGGCATCAATCTTTAGGTCTGCACAGGAACGCGCCTTTGGGAATTGCGGGAAGCATCTCCCTAAGGTGGCATAAACAGCTTCTTTCCTCTCTCTTTTTTTTTTTTTTTTTCCTTGCCTCATGTTCAGCGTTTGTCAAGCAAAAGAGGGATAGACAGAAACAGAAGCGTGGCAGATTCTGCCTACATCTTTCCCACAGTCTTCCCTCACCCCGAACTCTTGTGATACTTTGTATTCACTATCGCACTTGACTGACACAAGAAACCCACTGTAGGGAGCGAGGCTTCCTGTGAACCGAGCCCCGTTTCCATGGTGCGGAGTTTTCTACTTAAAAAAAAAAAAAAAAAAAGAAAACAAATTCCCGTTTTCCGGAGCTACACCTCCGTGCATCCCCACCCCCCCCACCCCTGGGAGGGCAAACATCCCTGTCCTACGAGGCTTCCCTTCCCATGCCACAGCCACTGGTTCCTCGGTCCCACTCGGGAAGCCCGGGATGTATTTTAAGGTCACCGAACCATTCCTGCGGCGGTGAGTCCCCGGCTTTGGGGGGCACCTGACAGCGGAGCCCCCCAGCTCTGCCACCCCCGCGCCCAGCCCCGAGCGGCTCCGGGGGGATGCTCCTCCGGGATGCCCGCGCCCAACTTCCCGCATCCCGCCACCGCTCACCGCCGCAAACTTTCGGGAGCCCCGCCGATCCCAAGCGGCTGATCCCGGCAGCGGTTCCCGGCTGCGGAGCCGGGTAGAGAAGCGGAGCATCCTCAAGCCCGGAGCGGTGGAGCCGGGCATCCCCAGCCCCGGAGCGGCGGCTCCCCGAGCGAGAGGGACGCGGGTCCCGCTGCCCGGCACAACGCGCTGCCCGCGGGATGGGGGAGATGCCCGGAGCCTCCCCCCGTCCCTCCCGCAGCCCCCTCCGGCACTCACCGATCCGCAGCACTTGCTGGGCGCTCCGGGGCAGCCCCGCCGAGGCGCAGAGCAGCACGAAGAGGAGCCCCCCGCCACCGCCACCGCCACCGCTACCGCCACCGCCGCCGCCGCCTCCCGGGGCCGTGCGGCGGGGCCACCGCGGGCCGAGGGCGCTCGCCATGCTCAGTTCATGGGGGGCCCGGCGGGCGGACACCCCCGGCGGGGCCCATGGCGCGGGGGCTCCTCGCTCCCGCCGCCGCCGCTGCCGCGCTGCCCTCGCCCCCCGCCGCCGCCGGCAGCGAGGGAGGGCACGGCCACGGGGATGGCGATGGGGACGGGCGGCTCCTCCCGCGGGGCGGCCCCGGGCGGGGCCGGGCGGGGCCGGCGATCCGCGCACACGGGTGGTGGTGGGGCGGGGGGGACACGGACTGACGAGCGCGGAGCGGTGCTGGCGCTCCCCGGCACGGCCGGACCCGCGCTGGGCAGGGACAGGGGCAGGGATAGGGACAGACAGAGGGACGGTGGCAGAGCACTGGAAGAGATAACAGGGGAGGGCACGGAGTCTCCCTCTCTGGAGACATTCCAAACCCGGTTTCCAGCTGGACACGCCCCCGTGTCACCTGCTCCAGGTGACCCTGCCCTGGCAGCGAGGTTGAACTGGATGATCTCCAGAGGTCCCTCTCAACCCTTTTCAATCACTATTCTGCGATTCTGCCATTCTGTGACTCCGTGATTCTGTAATTCTGCCATTCTGTGATTCTGTGATTCTATGATTCTGTGACTCTGTGATTCTGTGGCAGGGACAGGGTAGAGACAGGCAGAGGGACGGGGACAGCTCTGCACCTCTCCCTGTCCCACTAGCCCGCTCACCCCACGTTGTGCTGTCCGGCCCCCGCGGGTCTCTCCCCGCAGCCCCTCCTCGGTCCGGGAGAAGCCTTTCCCCTCGCGTGTTCCTCATCCCCTCAGCTCCTGCCCTTTTCCCTGCTGGCTGCACGGGGCTCTGGCAGGATGCCATGTGCAGGGCAGCTCCCTCCTGGCCTGGGTGATGGGGCACGGGCTGTGGGACACCCGTGGGGACAAGGTGGAGGGCAGTGTTTCTGCGTTGTGTTTGCTATCCTGGACCTCTGCAGGTCCCAGTGGGGGACAGGAGATGTGACCCCTCAGTGCATGTCCCCAGCAGGACAGCAGGGCTGCTCACCTGGAGTCAGGTGTTCATGGAGTTCAAGGGATGAAAACTCAAGGCCCATTTTGAACTGCCCATCACAGGCCAGAAAGTCTCTTTTTCCCCAGTGTCTCACTGTTCTCAAATAATTTTTTGGTCTTGCTTTTAAATGTTGAGTGAAACTCAGAGTGCTTCACTACAAAGTAAACACGTGGGTCCTGAGCTGATCCGAGAAAAGCAAAAAACCACAAGGGGAGAATGACTCCCACCTAGCAACAGAACTAAAATTGCATAGCTGAGATCCAAAATTGAAATCATCTAAATTTGTTTACTTTGTATTCCTCTCCAGCCTGTCTAACTATTGTTCCAGAAATTAACTCCTCAGAGCAGTCGCAGCGCATGCTGAAGTGCAATGGAAATAAAAGCAGCTACATTATATCTCCCAGTCAGCCTCAAATGGTTCCTGAAAAGCCTGCCTCTACTGTTTACACAGCAATTTAGGCTGTTCAGGAGTTCTCACTACCAAGATTCCCAGCCAGGATCCTGGTTAGTGCCCCCTCTTTGCATTTCTCACCGCATGTGTTATGTGTGTCATGGGGAATTTTTGCCCTCCGTGTTTGTTTTTTGTTTGCTTACCTAGGAGGCATTCTCCCCTTGGGAACAGAGCATGTTCAACAACTACAGAGTGTGCTCTGGTGTAGGAGGCACAGAAGGAACCCACCAGGCCACCCTGGGCTGCACTGAATGGCTCGGTGACTTCAGCACAATTTTATAATCTGTCATTGACTTTCAGATATGAGGGAGAAGGCAGAACCTCCTTCTGATGGGAGTGGGAAACCTCATCCCCTGAGCAGGGAATAGTAACAACCCCCCCCCTTGGGGCACATATTCATCTGCTGCACAAAACCAAGCAGGGCAAGGAGCTCGGATTGCACCAGCAAGTTCCATTTTCACAGTCGTGCTGGCAAGGCAAGTAACAGTGACACAGCAGCAAGGACTGGCTCCCAAAGGGAAGCCACATCAGTTCCACTTGACTGAGAAATGGTGCTGTTCTAAAAGGAAAAAAAATAATAATAATGGAAAGTATTTCCTCAGAAAAATACACCTGCTGGTATTTTCAGAACCACCTGCCCTCAATCTTAAAGGGGTTTCTGTGAAATTCAGGCACCACAAGGTTGCACTGAGATGAGAAGTTGACCAGAACTATAATCTTTAGGAAATACCACCAGGTTTAGTGTTCTGCTTCTTTGAAGCCCTTAAGGACATGGACTGAACAGAAAAAAAAAAAAAAAAATGGGAAAAGTTGGAGCTCAGTGATGACTGCAAGAGGGTGGCAGAACTCTGCAGACATTTGTTACCAGGAGTAGAAACAGGAGTTCCAGCTCAGCAAACCCCCCTTGAGACAGGAGCTGCTCACAGGACAACAGTTCTGAAAAATGTTTTAGAATTAGAAATGGGACATTCTGAAACACAAAGGAGTAGGGGAAAAAAAAAAATAAACTGACACGAATTTTCCTGCAAGTATTCCCCAGGTTTATGGTTTTACACCAGGGTCTAATCCATGTGGTTCTCTTGTTGCTTGCAATGCAGTCATTCACCCAGTAAACTCCACCCCACAAAGTCAAGACATGTTTTACAGGGAGTGCTGTTTTATTTCTGGCTGATATTTTAAAATGAGAAGCTTCAGTAGGGTTCATCTTGCTGGTCTCCATTTTATCAGTGTTCTCAAACCTTTAATCTTCTTTTGGAGTGTGCTCAGAAAGTGTAGGGGAAAAGCCCAGGCCTCTTGCCAATCTTTTTTCTTCCAGTGAAGCAGGTTTGAATGCCCTGAACTTTAAAATGTAAGACGTTGTTCAGCTCTTACTGGTGCCACGTTTGCTTGCTCATTGACTGCCTTTATTTAGATGAATTTATTGGTAAGATGTGTTGGAATACCCTTGGAATAAAGGATAGGCTGGATAATAAAAATATGTTCTTGTCACATGGCACATTAATGTTACAAATGGTGACAGAGTCTTTTCCACAGGAATTTGAAGTCTTTTTTCTTGTTTCTCAGCATGAAATTCCAGTTAGATATAATGTGTAATTATTATGGAATTTGCAGTTAAATAATACTTTTAGGTTAAGAACCAAAACCTCATCAGCTATCAGGGCCTCATGACTGAGTCTGGGGATGTAAACCAACCTCCTTCCCCTTTTGTGCCCATTTCAGGATTCTGATTTGAGTTTGGAAGTGGTCAAAACATCAGAAGGATGTGTGCATGCAAATGTGTGGGGAAATCTGGAAGTTTTCCAAAAAATTCTCAATTTCTTGGTCAAGCTCTGAGAAATTTTAGGTGTGTTCTGTTGGCCTCAGGACTTTAACCAGACTCTGGCCAGTCTAAGGTACTTTGCTATGGAGTTGAGGAGAGAAGAGGGGACAAAAGAGGGGAGAAAGAAGAGGAGAGAAGAGGAGAAGAGAGGACAGGACAGGAGAGAGACAAGAAATCTGATCTGTGGAGCAGAGCTGGTGGATGTGAGTGATGGAGCTCCATGCTGGCACTGGCAGGGAAGAGGAGAGTGCTGCTTGAGTGGAATTATTCCAGGTTCCCCTGACACGCCTTCAATTTTGGTTCAGCTGAAATAAAAAAATACATTTATAATCCCCCTCTGCCCCTTAACAGAATGTTACCAAAACACCACTGGATTCCATGTAAGTAAAGAGGTTACATTAATTTTTAAACTTGAAAATGTTCAGACCCAAGCACTTCTACTGAAGCATCATAACACCCAGGAAAGCAAATACAAATTATTCTCCCAAATGAGAACAGCACAGCAAGATTACAGCAAGTTCAAACACCACATTTTAAAAAGCTCTTTTTTCGGTTCAAGTGCTCCCTTTATTTATGTTCCCAGGCCCATAAATGCAGTTGTCCCCTTTTCAAAGTCTTTTCACTAAAAATGCTACAGTGAAACTCTTAACAAACTAACATTGATCTCCTCCATTGAACCAGTCTAACATTAATCTGCAAAACTGCTTTTCCCTGAGCTGTAGATACTTTTATCCACCACACTATTTAGCTGAAAGACATAAATACCCTGTAACTCAAACCCAAGCCACTGGAAACCTTTCTCAGCCAAAGACTTATTACATATTTTTTTTTCCCCTCCAATACGTGATACACCAGAGACTTTTTGAACAAGAAAACTCCCACTATACAGACAGAGAGAATTGGGCACATCTTCCATCAAAGAAGGAGTTTTTATTAATTTCTGCTTAGTCACATTTGTAGAAACCCAGAAAGTTCCTCTAAAATGAGTGGAGTCAGTATGAGCTTCCAAGCAGCGCTTCTGCCATGAGAAGCTCTTGACATATTTGCTTTTTGCAGAAGAAATAACCCCCCAAAACCAAGAACCTTTTAGCAGATAAGGAGGAGGGGAGGAGAATTAATACTATTTTTCTTAAACTGCTCAGTTTCCTCAGTTTCTGTTCCTCCTTTCTGCTGTTGTTACTAATAATTATGAGTAAGTTGGTGGGATAAATTAACACCTGTTCCAAATCTCTACCAGTACCATTTAAATATGTCCCAACTCAGTTTTCTCCTTCCACACTTATTTCAAAAGGGAGGCTTAGATGTCCAAAAGAGAGTATTTCACTTTATTACTGTAGTGGCCCAGCACTGATGAAATCAAGTGGGACCTGAGGGAGAAAGGATGTTGTGAATCTGCTATTTATATGTAGGCCCTTAGTCCAGCCATTTTAAGTCCTTTTTTTCTACTCGTCTGCAGATGTGAATCAGAATTCTGGTAATAAAAAAAAAAAAAATCCTCCACTGCTCAAGGAACACTCTAAGTTTGCTCACAAGAGCGAATGTTTCAATTTAAACTCTTGTGACATATATGCTCTGATAGCTCCCATCATCATTTACGTTGCACCTGGCACGACTGAGCTCACAGACAGCTGCAGTTCTTGTTTTTAAACCTCTGCATTCTAAGGATCCGTGTTTGCTCCGTGAATGTTCTGTCTTTCACTTGGCATTTGCATGATCTATTTTATACATCCACAAATGATGGTGCTCTCTGCGATAAAAAACAATATATGGGACTA